GTTAATTCATGTTGCTTTTTAGTCTGTATGTGTGTGAACCCCAGGGAAAATACAAAATGCTCATGCAATTTAAAGATATTGTAAAAAATTACCTTAATATTATCTTTGTATATGATCAGACCCACTATAGTGACTAAATGACCCACTTTGCCAGTTGAGACAGGTAGCATAGAGATTATATTTCAGATTGAAGAGATTGTGTTTGTTTACAATAAATATATTTATACATATTTGTTTTCGGGATTGTGGGAAACGGTATTTCGATCTCTCTTTCTGTACACACAAACTGAAAGATTGACAATAAAGTTGACTTTGACAATAGTAAAGTAAATGAGATGAGACTTGTCAGGATTAAGGCCATTTTAAAGTGCACCTATCATGCTATTTTTAGGCAATAGCATAGGTCTCAGATATATACAAATATATAAAAAACATGTCTATGAAGTGTTTTGCTCCAAATACCAAACAGATCACCCATTCTAGCCATGCCTCATATCCCTCTATTTCACTTCCTGTTTCAAAAGTGCTGTTTTGGGTATAAAGCTTTAAAAAATAAAAAAGGAGGGGTCTGAGCTCATGCGGGACCCAGCAGCTACTGTCTAAACTAAATACTGCCGTGATGAAACGCCATATCATGGATTATCAAGGATTATTTCTGAAACAGTATGGAGCTCAAAGGCTTTCTCTCTTGCCGGTTATACCACAAAGTGAGTTCCTTTTTATTTCCTGCTTCTTCACACACATGCTCTCCAGTACAGGTTAGCTCTGAGTGTTAGCGATGCTAATGTAAACACCGACCATATTACGTCCAAAACAGTCGGGCATTGTTTCTGATAGCAACGTTTCTGATAGGGCCGTGGGTCCACATTTCAGATATTACGTCATATCGGACGCAAATCTGGATCAGCTCCGTTGTAGCCCCGTTTTTAGAGATTTGGGTACGGAGGAAAAGAGAGAGGGTTTTATTTTCTGATGCTGCGTGAGTTCCCCAACACACCGGGGACACATATTGATGTATAACAGACATCAAAAAGTGCATTTTGCATGATAAGTCCCCTTTAAACAACCATCAAAACAGCATCCTGTATTATTTTCTATGTACAACCAGCACAATGATAAGTGGTGTCTAGTTGCATGCTGGTGTTTGTGAGCATACCCTCTGTGACAATTATATTTTATATTTCATTTGGCTGATGCTTTTCTCAGCTTTTACACACAGCCTAAGTACTCGTAAATTCTCATGAGTTCACACATTTTACAAAACCAGTGGAACGAGCTCTCATAGGAGCGAAGAAACTACATATCTTTTGTCACAAACTAAACACCCTCATGTTTTGGCTGTACCTTGGCCATTAAATATATATCGAAGCGAATATACCTGTACTTTTCTTGTCTCTCTGAGTTTGTATCTTTATGGTTTATCGCAATTTTTGTGAGTCGCTTTGGATAAGTATCAGTTAAATGACATGTAATGCAACTTCCCTGGAAAAGAGATGTTTGTTCCACATGAAATTAGACTAAAACACAGCTGAAAGCACAATACTATGGACGGCCATTTGGATTTGAAGCTGATGAAAGAGGTGAGACGCAAATCCAAGTGGACTGGAGTCTCTCTCAGTCTCATTATATCAGGAGCAGCTCCTGATTGCACTTGTATAAACAGCTCAGAACTCCAGACAGTAAAATGTGCAGACAAGTCACTCCAACTTAGCTGAAGTCACAAAGACTAACATTTGATTTTCCCTGTCGCGCAGAAACAAATCCATCCAAATAACACCTGTCCGTTCATGTGACTTGTTTACATGCACTGCTTTCCTTTCTAATTAGACAGTTAGCACACACACACACAACCAAACAAACTCCAAATCAGGGACAAGTCGCTCTGCTTCTCGTCTTATTACCTTTCCTCCATCAGGGACAGGAACTTAGTGAATGTAGGTAAATTAAAAACACTTAAGAGGACTCAATGCAGGTAAATATAGCATCTCAACCAAGAATCCAGGCTAATTGAAATAGACTTTATCATTTGGGGACTTGTACTTGGTAATCGTCTCTCACCGGGGGGGCTGTTAAAGGCGACATTTGTCCCTCAAACATTATTCTTTTCAACAGGAGAGCGGACATTTTGCTTCTTTAGAGAATCACAGAGCTCAGAGAAAGGAGAAGAGATGCCTTTAAACAGAAACGCATTAAATCTCTCCTTCTGTACGTCTGTTACTGTTTTCACACCAAGCTGTGGTCAGAGAGGTGAGTTATCGAAGAAAATTCTCAAAGTGCAATCTGTCCGTCGTCTCACCGAAAATACAAACAAACATATTCTCATGTTCATAATGGAGCCTTCCCAATGCTTTGTTGCATCTAAATGGATCTCAAAGTAAAGACAAATATGAAATGAGTTTTATGGGCTGTTCTACTTTATTTAATTTCTGTTAGCAACTGGAACTCATTTTCTCTGACACATCGGGGTTAATACTATAACTGTGGTACATTCAGCTGGTTGCAATAACAATGAAAATGGCATTAATACAGGTGTGTCAAACTCAAATACACAGTGGGCCAAAATAAAAAAATGGGTACTAGTCGAGGGCCGGACTGGTTCAATGTTTATTGCAAAACTTATTGAAATGAACTTATTGCACATATTAAACCTGGAACTAACAAAGCTTCAATTATTGCCTATAAAAACAACATTAAACATTAAATAATCAGTTGCATTCATTTCTTATGGCTCTATCTACAGCTTTTCCCGAGTCATTTCTTATGATTACATTTTTCCACAGGCCAACAACAGCTTCAAAAAAACTATTTCCCTCAAAGAAAAAACCAAACATGCCCTGTTGTCGTGAGAGAAAAAGTGCAGAAGGAAACATCCATTGAAACTCAGTGTGCTGCTCTGTGATGCTAGCTCAAGCCAGATACTTGGCATCTCATCTTGGGTGCAAGTTAATCAATGTTTGGGCTCAGGCTCTGAGCTGAGGAGACCCTCAGGATGGAGTGAAGGTGTGCGTGCAATATACCAGATCTAATAGTAATTAGAAATTATCCTGCGGGCTGAAATTAAATCCACCACGGGCCTGATTTGGCCCCCGGGCCTTGAGTTTGACACATGTGCATTAATACATGAATTACATTAATACATTTTAAATAAGCTTGTCAAAATAAAAACATGTAAGTTTAATTATTAAGAGACTTAAGTTCAAATAACTCAATGGATTTAGTACAGTACACTTTATTTACCAAAGTATCCATAACAATAAATACTAGAGTTACTTGGAGTCGATTCAAATAATTTGTTTCATACTCAAGTTGTTTGAGTTTGTAAACTTAAATGTATTGAAGCCATCAGTTTCCACAAACGGTTTGAGTTGAACTAACTTATCAGGTTTTACAGTGTAAGCTAAAGTCATAATACAATTGTATAAGGCAAAAAAACAAGTGTGACAAGATATGAAATTCTAGAATTAGAATGATTGCATTAGGAGGATATATTATGGTAATGTTCAGCTTCATGCTTACAATCATCTCTCTAAGTCACTCTCAATGACTCGTAACAACAATCATTCGGACAGGAAGCTCAGGTAAAGTAATGAAAGATTTTTTATTTATTTAAATCTTGATGGTCTTTGCAGGATCACAGCATGGTTTACAGAGATGCAAGAATGTACTTTTATCTTCATAAACATAGATTCTTGCATGCTTTGTTATTAGTACACAGTGTATTTCACACATCACATTTCTCAGTATCTCACAAAAATAAACACATGAACTTGTAATAACCACACATCTTGAGTGATTGTCATTAATGAAGTTTAAGTTCATCAGTTCAACTAAATTAATAATCATAATTATAAACGTGCGACAATTAATCGACTAATTGCCTGAATTGGTTGACCAGAAAAATGAGTGGAGGGCAGTTATAGTACACAGTGGGTGTTTCTCAATGTCACGGAAGGATGCTCCAGAGCCACTATTTCAAGGATGCTACGTCATCGAGTCCCGCCGAAGGACTGTTCCAATGTCCAGGCTCCTTGGAATTCTACCGAGGCCGGCGTACTTCGTTACGGGAAATGTCGAGGCTGCACATGTGTAGACTCAGCGGTCTTAAAATCCCCACAATGCTTTGCGCACGGACCAATTTCCCAATCTTTGGCGGAAATCACGCTCCATTTAAGGCGGGGCCTCGCATATGACGCACACTTGAACACCTGTTAGCCTGTTCCACAATTCTTCGTTTTCCGAGGCTAGGAAGGATTCTTGCCTCGCTTCTGAAGGACCTGACTCGGAGGGACATGTCCTACCAAGCAAGCGTCCTCGACATTGAGAAACACCCATTGTGTTACCTCTTCAGTTAGCAGTAATTTAGCTTTATTGTCACCAAAATATAATTTAACAATGTGTTCACACTCTATATGTTTAAGTAAGGTGGGGACATTCAACAAACTGTTCTAATTTTAATTAAATTTTATTTGAAATGAAAGAAAAAACATATATCTGAATTGAATGCCTGACTTTTTGAGCCTTGGCAATTCAATTCTACAAAATAAAAGAGCACTTTAAAAAGATAATTTGAAGAGAGATAAGAGAGGGTGAGGGAGGAAGGGTGAGGTACATAGGAGGTGTATGGAGGTGTATGGAGGTGTACAGTATGGAGGTGTATGGAGGGGTACGGAGGTGTATGGAGGTGTACAGTATGGAGGTGTATGGAGGTGTACAGTATGGAGGTGTATGGAGGGGTACGGAGGTGTATGGAGGTGTACAGTATGGAGGTGTATGGAGGTGTACAGTATGTGTATGGAGGTGTAAAGTATGGACGTATTTCTTTAAGCTTTTTTTTTTGGGAAAACCTGCGCTCCAGGAGAAAACCCTATATAGAAATACGATAGAGAGGGTGATGAGGAAGGGTAGATGGATGTGGGGTGAGGAAGATGAAGGAGAAGAGCGATGAAGAGGGGGAACAAGAGGGAGCTACTGTCGTCGTAAACAACTAGCAGTGGCCTCTATTATCCTCTTTTCTTCTCTTTTTTCTTATCCTTTCTGCTTTTCTTCCTCTGCATACGTACCCTTCCTTCCACGGGGGTCTGCTTTAGGTCGGACCCTTCTTCTGGGTCCTTCACCTCTCCCTCTGCTGCCTCTGTCTGCTTTAGGTCGGGCCCTTCTTCTGGGTCCTTCACCTCTCCCTCTGCTGCCTCCGTCTGCTTTAGGTCGGACCCTTCTTCTGGCTCCTTCACCTCCTCCCCTGCTGCCTCCGTCTGCTTTAGGTCGGACCCTTCTTCTGGGTCCTTCGCGTCCTCCCCTGCTGCCTCCGTCTGCTTTAGGTCGGACCCTTCTTCTGGGTCCTTCACCTCTTCCTCCACCTTCTTCTCTCTGATCCTGCAGCGCTGGTCTTTCAGCACTGCCGCCCAGCTACGTTTTGTCTCCTCTCCCATTTCCATTCTCTGCAGAGCGACCTCTGCGGCCTCGGTGTTCGGTAAGTCGGGGAACTGTTCCACTTCTTTCCTCTCTTCCGTCACCTCTGACGTTTCACAGCTCTGGCTTTTATTGTCCAGGTTGTCCATCTCCTTTACAATAATCCCCATCTGTGTTACTTTCAACGCCTTGACTCTTTTCCTCTCTTGTTTCTTCTCCTTTCTGCTTTTCTCTGTCAGCAGCACTTCCTCTCCTGCCTCGGTCTTTGAGTCGGAGACTTCTTCTGGGTCCTCCACCTCTTCGATCCTGCAGCGCTGGTCTTTATTGGCCACCACTGCTGCCCAGCTGAATTGAATCTCCTCTCCGCTTCCCATTTCCTGGAGGCCTGCCTCTCCGGCTGGGAGTTCGCAGATAGATATTTCGGGGAACTTTTCTGGTTCTTTCTCCTCATCCTTTACCTCTGTGGTGTCACAGAGCTGGTCTTTATTGGCCAGGTTGTCCTCTGTCGGTTTCACCTTCATCGGTCTGAAGTTAAAATCCCAGCAGTTTGGGGTCTCAACAGCAAGGTCATTTATGGACTCCTCTGGTTTGATCAATTCCTCATCCAAGGTAAGCTGTTTCTCAGCCTGGGCCTCAGGGAACTTCTCCAGTTTGATATCCTTGACTCTTTTCTTCTTACTGCTTTTCTCTTTCTGCAGAATTACCTCCTCCGTCTTCTTTAAGAAGGAGACCTCTTCTGGTTCCTTCTTCTCAACCTCAACCTCCACCTCTGTGGTTTCACAGCTTTGGTCTTTGATGGCCACCGCTGCCACGAGGCTAAGTTCCTCTTTCTGCAGCTCTACCTCTGCTGCCTCGGTCTTCGGGAAGTCGGTGAACTCTTCTGGTTCTTCCTCTTCATCCTCCTCTGGAGTCTCAACCAGGTCTTGTGTGGACTCTTTCTCTTCATCCTCCACCTCTGGAGTCTCAACCAGGTCTTGTGTGGACTCCTCCTCAGTGAACTTCTCCTCCTGATCTTCTTTCATCTCCATCAAGATGACTTCCTCTGCCTGGCTGTGATGTGTCTCAGCTAGGTCCTCAATGGATGTTTCTGGATTCTTAATTTCATCCTCCATCTTTTGGACTTCTGTCACCATCACTGTCTCCAGGTTTTGTTGTTCCTCAGCCGGGTCCTGAGGTGACTTTTCCTCCAGGATGTTTTCGACCTTGACTTCGACCTCCAGGATTTCTTGTTTCCCTGCAAGGTCCTTTGTGGACATTTCCTCCAGATGTGACTTCTTGTCCTCAATCTTCTGGAATTTTTCCTTGATCCGTTTGCTTAGAGAAGCCCAGCTCTGTATTTTCTCTGCAATTTCTTTTCTGACATTCTCTGCCAGGGAATTGTCATCTTTCTCAACGCTTTCAACGTTTGTCGCCATTTTTGACTCTGGACACAGCTTGTTCTCTTCCAAGCTCTTTGAAGATTCCTCCTTCAGTGCATTGTATTTCTCCTGCCAGTTTGTGGACACTGAGAGACTGTGAGAGAGAGACTCCTTCTCCTGTTTCAGACCCATGATTTCAGTGTCCCTCTGGTGGATCAGTTCCTGCCAGACATTCACAACTTTCACAAATCTGGCATTTTCTTGCAACAGCGACTGGTTTGCTTGCGTCAGACCGTTGATCACAGCTTCCCTCTGCTCGATCCTGGTAATCACCATCTTCTGGTGATAAGGCCAACTCGCCTCCCAGTGCGTGTTTTTCACTGCCAGGTCCTTTGCGTACTTGTCCAGAAGTTCATATTTGAACTCCCAGTGTTTGATAACATTTACAAGTTCAGCTTTGCTGAAGCTATTTGTGGCCTCTGTGAGCCTCTGAGCGGCTTCCTGCTCACACACTACTGGACTAATTATTCCTGCCATGGCACAGTTTGTTTTGACTTGAATTGTGCGTAGTTAGAATAATTGAAGTGTGTCTGTACGAAACCGTGTTTCTTTGTAGAAAACGGTAACTGTCTTTAGTAGATTTGTTCTCTGTAAAAGACTGTGTTGTTCGTATGTTGAATGTAGTTTTCTGTAGAAGTTACTGTATCTAGTAAATCCGAATGACCTGAAATTACCAAGAGCTGTTTCTGAGGAATACCAGAGTATACATGAGTATTTCACTTGCATGTTTTGAAAGTTCCGAATTCCGATCCAACATCAAGGCCGATGATGTCATAATTTATCTGGTGATGACGTTATTACATCATCAGCAGATGATCACATGACTTATCAGCTGATGAAGTTATGACATCACGGATGTTCTTTATCATGGATTCTAAATGGATTCTTAATTGAAGTGTAAAATAACAATACTCAACACCATGTTCACTTCAAGCATTTAAATATATGACTATTATGTTAATTAATTAATTTGCTTTGCCTATTTTCTACTGATTTATCAAATGTTATGAATCACTTTCAGGTGCAGATTTTTGAGTTGTGCTTTTAAGCTAATTGCAATTCAAATGTGTTGATGTACAATTTATATTTACAGAAGGAAATTTACATCAACGAAGAAGTCATGTTCTGGGACTCTCTGTTACTGTACGATACATTATTCAACTTTTGAATCTGCTCAGTTATTTTATATTGTTATTATTATTAGCATGTTTTCCTTTTCTCAGTGCATGCTGATTGTTTTCAGTTGATCCTACCTGCTAAATATAAGCCTGCGCATGTAAATATGTACATGTTTACAGGTAAGTGAATATGTATGATCACTAAAACACATTTAATTCAAGTCAACGTTTAATTGTTTTGAGTTTAGCGAGAAGTTACCATAAGAACAACATTGTCCGGCAGTGGCTCAGTCAGTAAGGGCTTGGACTGGGAGCTGTAGGGTCGCCGGTTCAAGTCCCCGAACAGACCTAAATATGGAGTGTGGACTGCTACTTGGAGAGGTCCCAGTTCACCTCCTGCCCTGCCGTGGTGCCCTTGAGCAAGGCACCGGTAACTTCTCCCCCGTCACTCCCATTGCTCCCCGGGCACTGTACAATAGCTGCCCACTGCTCCTGGTACTAGACTCCTGGTGCTAGGATGGGTTAAATGCAGAGAACACATGTCACTGTGTGCTCTGCATGTGAGACCATTACAGAGGGGTTCATCCCTCCCATTCTATTCTACATAGGAACCAGTATAATAACAAATTGTTTTCCAACTCTCTTTTGCAGTTGTTGCAAACTTTAAGGAGAAATCTGATGAAAACACTCACATTATATGCATTATATTTGTGTTGAAATATAACGGTTAGCTTCACATTAAAAAGAGAACAGTGTGAAGTCAAAAACAAAATTCCCGTTAATTATTTGTAGCTCTCTCTTCAGCCTCCTGCAGAACGCTCCCTTCTTCAACTCAATAACCTTTCCATCAACAAGGAAATTAAGTTTCCTTCTAAAATGAGATATGCCATTTCAAAGAGCTGACACTTACTGAGAAGAAATTGGCTAATCTAAGAAATGGGAGATTTTGAAAGGGTATTTGGTAACGTGAGAGTGTGAGTGACAGCAGCCCCGGTGCACCGGATTATCTTCAATATAGTAAAGACATACAGATGAACTTTGAGTAATGATTTTAGGCCGGAATGGGAATGGAAGTGAGGAAATGTCTGCATGCCATTAAAGTCTGAGATATGAGGTGTCTGTTAGACATTGACAGGTGGCTTACATTAGTCATCTCAAAGTGCTCTTTCATATTCCCTTCACTATTCAGTCTATTTCCACCCTATGTATGAGTGAAGAAAGACACGGAGATCAGTGTGTGTGTGTGTGTGTGCGTGCGTGCTTGCGTGCGTGCGGAGATATAGGAACAGTGAGACAGAAAGAGAAACTAATTGGTAGTGAATGTACTGACTGCCGGAGAGAAATACACCTCAGAGAGACAGACGGATGAAATAAAAAGACAGACAGACAGATGCAGGCTGACCACACTCCTACACAATTATATGTATTGTATTTTAACATGCACGCTCACAAAGGCCATTCTCAGGCCATTGCTCAGTCTCGTACTGCCATCTAGTGGTGAAGAGAGATGAAATATTTAAAAAGGCATTTACAGTTTCAGCATTGTTGCAGCAAAAATATCTTAAATCGAAGGCAACAATTCAAAAAACAAAAAAAGATATGAGACATAATGCATGCTTTTGTTTTTGCTCCCATCTTTCATGAGCTGAAATCAAAGATCCAAGACTTTTTCTAAGTACACAAAAAGCCTATTTCTCTCACTTATTGTTCACAAATGTGTCTAAATCTGTGTTAGTGAGCGCTTCTCCTTTGCCGAGATAATCCATCCACCTCACAGGTTTGGCATAGCAAGATGCTGATTAGACGGCATGATTATTGCACAGGTGTTCCTTAGGCTGCTCACAGTTAAAGGCCACTCTAAAATTGGCAGGAACTGGAACGCGCTGTCGTATACGTTGATCCAGAGAATCCCAAACATGCTCAATGGGTGACATCCGGTGAGTATGCAGGCCGTGCGAGAACTGGGATGTGTTCAGGGATCGTGTGCAGATCCTTGCAACATGGGGCCGTGCATCATTATTTTTGAACACTTGGTGGAGGGGGTTAGCTTCACAGGGTGTGTAAAATGGGTCCTAGGTTACCGGAAACAGACAGAGGAACATCATACCGATCAAACCGGACCCAGCTGATTCTCACAGAAACAACAACTCATTCAACCCTGGTATTGAACAACTATCACAATAAACATCAAACAAACTGCATTCAACGACCATCTGTTTTGTGTCTGTCTGCATAAAAATCACTCTAAACCTCATCTGGCAACCCGAATAAAGATCAATGGACCACTCAAAATTGCCATTGCACTTATTATTAATCAGTTGTTGACAACATACCAATATTTGATGAAGATACTGGGTACTTCAATACAGAGGACACTGAATAATAACGGGAGTAGGACATTTTTGTGTGTGTGTGTGTGTGTGTGTGTGTGTGTGTGTGTGTGTGTGTGTGTGTGTGTGTGTGTGTGTGTGTGTGTGTGTGTGTGTGTGTGTGTGTGTGTGTGTGTGTGTGTGGTGTGTGTGTGTGTGTGTGTGTGTGTGTGTGTGTGTGTGTGTGTGTGTGTGTGTGTATACATGTTTCTCATGTCCTCAGTGTCAGCCCTCAGCTGTCCTCCTGTCTGCCTCTCTGTCTCACTAATATATCGGAAAACTTTATTAAATAAATTGTGGAGGAAATTGGGTTTTGGCACAGTTGATCCACCATACGTTTAAAAAGTTAAAGTATGAATGTGCAATTAAAGATAGAATCAAACATAAGAAATTCAAAGAGTGTGCCTATATAGAAAGAAATATATTGAAATAACATAATTTAACTTAAATGTTTATAATAAAAGAAGTCAAGTTAAAATCTTCAATAAAACTAAAGATTAAAATGGATTAACGTATTGTTTTGAACATGTATATTCCAATATATACAGTGGGTGTATTTTTAGATGCTATCCTCGAGTTATTACTGGAAGAAAAACTTGAATGAGAAATGACGACAAGTGTTGATTCACGTTAATTCAACACACACACACACACACATTCTCTCACCCACACACACTCCCAGCTGTCCTGCAGTGTGCTGAGAGGTGGGGGAGGAGGAGCAGAGAAACCAGAGCTCAGGTTCTCTTTCTGGTCTCCCCACCGTCCCAAACTGTAACTCCACAGCTCAGTGCTGCTGCTGCTGCTGCTGCTGCGTGAAGCCCGTTAGCATTAGCTTAGCATTAACACCTCATTATCAAACAGATGCTGTAGAGTTCAGGGATTCTTCACAAACATCTGCTGGAGACATGAACCTCTCTAAGGTGCAGATCTGGTGGTTGTGGATCCTCTGTGTATTCGCTGGTAAGTGTGTGTGTGTGTGCGTGTGCGTGTGCGTGTGCGTGTGCATGCGTGCGTGTGTGTGTGTCCTTTCAGTAGCAGTGAGGGTCCTATGAAAAGGTATGAATTAAGAGGTAAATGTAGTACAATACTACCAAAACATATGATTCCAAGCTATCACAGAGTTGAAGTCCATGTCTCTCCAGCTTCTGCTATTCAGAAAACAAACTCCCAGTTGTCTTTTATGAAATACGACATCAATTTTCAACAGATATGGTAAAGGTTAAACGTATTAAAGTGGGCATTATGCTAAAGGGGTGATTGGGGTTAGGGTGCAGGGTGTCGTTATATTTTAACATTGGATATGTTTGTGGATTTTCTGTAGCAGTGAAGGTCCTAAAAAAGTATGAATAAGAGGGAAATGTAGTCTTGTTGAAGAAATACAACCAACAACAGCAACAATGATAGTTTCAAGTTACCACAGAGTTGTTCACTCTCACCTAATCCAACTTTTTGGGAAAACAAAAAGATGTCTGCCAACCAGACGTCTATCTATTCAAGCCTTTTTATGTTTAGGTATATTGAGATTGTATACATAATTGAACAAGCAAGTTTCTAAATGCATGTTCTCTGTGTAAAAAGTACTGATCTCTCCAGAGACTGCTGTGTATGGAGCTCAGAAACAGCTGACAGCCTCTCGACCCATGGCCTGAAAACCCAAAATGAAGCTACGATACGACACAGTATTGATAAATCCTGTCACAAAATATGCTTATATGCCCTGATATTGTACATTGTTGTTGAGAAACAAGAGTTTTTCAGGGTCTTTGGTTTTCTAAAATGGTATTTAAATTAGCCGAAACCAAAGTGAACTACTGAAATAAAAAGACTGAAAAAGTAACAGTTGCTGTGACATTGGAGTGGAATCCAGTTAGAAGTCAAGGAGATGCTTCGAGTCCATTTCAAGTGGGGGAACTGCACCAAAAACGGAGAAGACTTGACAATCACATTGATGCAAAAAGTATAAACACAGCTATAAGGTGGAACTGCTGATTGATTTGCAGCATTTCCCACAACAACCTGACACAGCCACAGTTATTTTAGGGGTCGTTATCAATATTAGCAAGGGAAAAGTATTGGTAATATTATATCTCGTCGTCATATCTCGATGTCGCCCCATTGCTTCACACATTCCCGAATAAATATCTATCTTAATCTTAGAATTTCAAATGATCTTTCACCGTAAGAAACGTGAGTGTCTTAGCATCTGTCGCTCAGCCTCCCTAAAAAGCGGAGGCTCGGCATTGTTAGCATTCCTCTCTGCATTCAGATGTAAGGCATTCACCGTAGCTGCTGTCCTCTTCAAGAGAGATTTATATTTACCAGAGAAACGGGACAGGGGTCTCTGTTCAAGGACAATTGGACGGGACACATGCTAGTTAATGGACATGCTGTCTCTTGAAGGGGGGATTAAACCTGTGACCGTCCAAATACTGGAAACAGTAGAACAACAGGCCTCCGACAGTAAATCATAGGTCCCTTTACAGATTTAAAACTTGCTTGATCTTTACTTTTTAAATTTTCTTATTATTATTATTATTATTATGATGTATTTATTTCAACAAGGACCATACATACAAATACATTAATCACAGAAAAGAGAAGTATTATTGTATTTTGTATTCGGGATTGTTGGAAACGTTAATTAGATCTCTCTGTCCGTACAAACACACAGAAAAATTGACATTAAAGTCGACTTTGACTTTTGACTTTTGACTTTGAGATGAGTTATGCGGGAGGCGTGTGGCACAGTGGGTAGAACCTTGGTGTTGGGATCAGGGGGTCACAGGTTCAAACCCCACTGCAGTCAGCATGTCGTTGTGTCCCTGAGACACTTCACCCCAAATTGCTCCTGTGGGGATTGCCCACAGTATTGAGTATGTAAGTCGCTTTGGATAAAAGCGTCTAACAAGTGACATGTAATGTTATTATGCCAGATTTGAGCTAATAGCTCATTTCCATCTGCAGACCTTAGGACCTAGTCTTCATCATGTTATGAAATCTTTTGGCAATAAAATGCATCGTTTTATACATTTCTCAAAACATCAACATAACACCAAAGGACATGATCCACTCACATGCAGGGGCGCCTCTTGCGAACAGGCAAGGCAGGAAACTGCTTGGGGCCCCGGACCAGAAGGGGGCCCCCAAAGAAGGTAGATTAAGAAGGTCCACAGCAACGACAACATGAAACACCCTTTAATTTACTGCAACGACATGTCGGGAAACCCCCTCACGGCGGCCCCATGCATAGCGCGCCGTAAAATGCTGCTTCTTATTTTAAGTTTCGTTGCCTTGCTCCGCTCTGGGGGGGGGGGAAGAGCAGGGGCGGACTGGGACTAAAGATCTGCCCGGGACTCTCGACCGGCCCACTTCGGTAACGCCGGGCCACCTCGGTACCGCAATTAATTATCAAATTATCAACGGGGGGGGGTGGGGTGCTAGTGACTTATCCGACCGGCCCACTTCAGTACCGGCCCATCGGGATTCGCCCAGTCCGGGAGGGGCCCCCAGTGAATTTTTGCCTAGGGCCCCTACAGACTCTAGGATCGCCACTGCTCACATGTTGGTGTTGGCAGTATCTCAAATTGATCATCTTAATTGCAAAAGGACAGTGGAGAAAAAAGCAGAAACATGTCACTGTGCTGATCTCATGTTTATTCTATAAAACGTAATGCTTATTACAGCTCTGAAAAGGCTTGAATGTGGAGCAGAATATATCATTTGAGTAGAATAAATACATGTATCCTGATGTAAAGGTTGAAGTTTAACCTAAAATGGCTCACAGGTTTTTAGCTCAGGTCTTAATAGAAAGCTCAGTAACTGCTTTACCAATGCTTTATGAATACTAATATGTTTTATCACATCTGCAAATGTATTTTACATTATGATAGCAAAGCTGATTTTACCTTGTTTTTCCCTTTAGCATTTATTGTTTTAGTTTTCCTATAATAGCATTCAGGCCAGATCACCAGTCCATTAAATCCAAATAGAATTACTTTTATTCATCCTTTCCAATTCAGTGATTTAGTTGCGGGATGTTTTATGAAACCCACTTGTGAAGAATAGATAGAGGATGTGTGTGAGGATGAATGGATGCAGCCTGTTGGACATTATCTGCATCGCTGCAGATGTGCAATAAAAGACGCTCTCATTCACTTAAATCATCTTTATAGCGGCACATCCACTTTAAAAAATATCTACGAGCTGGAGCTTGTTTGTCATTATCAGACGGATCATTCCCCGCCTCCAAACAGGATCTTTTTAATTGTGTTTTGTTAGAAAAATCTCCCTCGTCACCGGCTTGAGCTTCAATCTCAGGATCCATGTATTCCTGATCCTCTCCAGAATGGAAGTAGTCATCACATACAGAGCACCAACTAGTTCCTGAACAGTGTCCTTCACATGCTGATATCCAAGAGAGGGAGTTACACAGTCACAAGATGGAGGAATAGAAAGCAGTATTCAATGTTTACTTCAGATTAGCTCCACGTCAGAAATGATCATGCTTGTCATATGTCTATCTCCATAGAGGCTGAATCATCATGTTAATCACATAGCTATCATATGCCTCAAACAGTCCTGATGCTCTTCTAGGTAATCATACATCCTGTCATGTACTCAGCTACAGTTGGGATACCTTTGTTATCATGTTACTCTGAGATTGGAAGAGGACATTCAGTATTTTCCCAACATGTTTACATATAGTATGGGGGCAATACTGTGGCGCTGTGCTTGTATATAAGATATATCAATTCTGGGGAGAACATGGCGCCCGTATTCAAGATGGCGCCACTGACGTAAACAACAATGTACGTCGGAACTCCGTAAAAACCAAGCTGTCTTTGCCGTCTGACGCTCTATTTGACACAATTTCATATTTTTTGAGTAATTATACCGTTTTTTATGAACAGAAAGTGTTTCTGGCATCACTTTAAAGTTTCACGGGGGGAAATCTGCATTTTTGGTTTGAGGCCGCACGCCGAGAGTATGAGTTGTTACCCGGTTCAGATAAAACCCTGTTATTAAAGATCCAGTTACAGTAGATGCATTTATGATATTATCTAGATTAACGGAGGCGTGTGGCGCAGTGGATAGAGCGTTGGTGTTCGGATCAGGGGAGCAAAGGTTCAACCCCCACTGCAGTCAGCATGTCGTTGTGTCCCTGAGACATTTCACCCCAAATTGCTCCTGTGGGGATTGTCCACAGTATTGAGTATGTAAGTCGCTTTGGATAAAAGCGTCTAACAAGTAACATATAATGTAATCTAGATTTGATCCTTTGCAGACCATTCACATGAACATAAACCTATAACAAAAAGCACAACAGGGCTTCTTAAAAGTATGTGCACTTCTTTTAGGTTGTATTTAGTGATGGTTACCCAAGCATTATTCCTCAGAAAAGATCTTTCTCATTATTAATAAATCTCCTGTACAAGGACTACAGGACAGTTTGAGATTTATACAAGATATTACAGTTCATACAGTTTAAATGTATGAGTACCTCTTTTTTAGAATAGAAGAATTCACTATCAATAACCTTAGATAGGAAAGCAATCTGGAGATATGTTGTGTTTAGAGCGAGGCTAACACACAATGCAATGATCAGACTGAACAACACTCCTCCTTTGAGTGAATGCAACAAGTCAAGCTCATTTTCTGGAGGTTAGAGATTCACATTGAAGGCAGACAGACAAGGCCATTTTAGGGAGAGTGGCTACCTCCTTTTATTTGATATCCACGCTCAAATGCATTGTTACAGTCGGAGCGATTCACTTTACTTCACGGCAATTTCCCAGCCTGTCACGAGACGTTTGCTCAAATGCTTCCTTCATGGCAGAAATATCATCATATGCAATTTTACTGTAGATAGTGGCAGAAAATAAATAGAGCCTTTGACATAAGGGCTGCAAAATTCACAGAAATCTCAATATGCGCTAATGCAACAAATAGCAGTAACGGCCCGTCCACACAGCAGCGTTAAAAAATCTTGAAACACTTCTGCCCATTCACTTTGAATGGGGTGACGTCACTTTGCCTCACTTTTCGCCGAACTGCATTGTGGGCAGCAGAGCGGAGATTTTCAGGATTCAAAGTTGAGCAATGTTCAACTTTTGAAGCTGAGGTGGAAGCGTCAGCCAATCAAATCCCGTGTATGCAAATCTGACAGTTCAAGCGCTAGCCAATCAAACCGCGTGTATGCTGGGAGAGACATACCGCAGGTCATTTCCTCATATTCCAAAAAATGGAGGAGAAATTAGCGGTAGGGAATCACCCGGTGCTTTATGACCAGTCCCTATTTAACTACCAGGATACAAACCGGAGGAGCCAGGCATGGAGGGAGGTGGCAGAGACAGTGGTAGGTTTTCGCCTGTTTGGGGAGTTTATATCCAGTTTACTTCGGGCTTTTTTGCTTCGTATGTCGGGGGCGGGAGATTCATGTGATTGGTTGTTGGTGCCTTGCTCGCAAAAAATCCCCAAGCTTCAGATACGCCCACCGCCAAGATTTTTTTAACGCTGCTGTGTGGACGGGCCGTAAGCAAAACATTTGGAAATGATGTGAAAATATCTGAAAGGAGCTGGAATTCACGGAGAATTCCTGGCATACAAACAATGATAATTTTCATATCGTGAATCATATCACATTTGCAAAATCACTCGGTCTCTTTCAAACCGTGCAGGCCTTTTAGCCGTTATTGTTTGCAGCTATGGTTCAGTGTTACGTGGGAATTGGAGCAGAGAGTGGGCAATGATTGACAGCTCCAAGTGGCTCCTCTGTCCCGCCTCCCCTGCGTCTATTTTAGTCTGTGGCCAGATCAAAGCGTGCTACAGGACAACAGACAGCGAGCAGGAAGTGACAGACACACAGACATGATGGCAGACAGAGAAATTAACAACGGCACGTAACTCCTCATCCACACATCACTGAGGAAGTGTGTGTGTGTGTGTGTGTGTGTGTGTGTGTGTGTGTGCGTGCGTGCGTGCGTGCGTGCGTGCGTGCGTGCGTGCGTGCGTGCGTGCGTGCGTGCGTGCGTGGGGGAAATGAAACGAGATCCCAGCTTTGGATGGCCGACAGATTCCAGAAATAACTGGCAAAGGATGTAACTATCCTGGCTAGCAGTGCTATGCTAATCAGCTGTGTCATATTATAACAAGACTACAGGATGCGTTTACTGTGAATACATGCACTAAAGTCAGGGGATAGTCAACTTGTAGAACAAAGTCAAGCCTGCTGCAGTTATAGTGTGCAAGATAAAGTAAATGAAACAAAGTACCTCTGTCATAAGAGTTGTTAAAAAACTAGGATGTTGTAAAATATCTAGGAAAGTCTTCTTGTAAAACCAGGCTTCAAATGAGTGAAATCGTTGTTTGGCAACTGTATACGTTTCCAGATATTTAGGCATCAGCTTCAATAATTCAGAACAATTAAGGTTTCATTTTATTTTCACACAAAGATAACCTCACCAGGTCTAAAAAATAACTCTTCATATGAAGTATTGTTAATAAAGTATTTAGGTTTTGAATGCAAACATCTCGTGTGCTGGTGTTGACATAATGACACATGTGTTTTTCCCGTTACAAAAAAATTCCAAACCCAGTCATTTATAACATATTTTGTTGCTATGAATAATTAGTGTAAAGTTGCACAAAATGGAAGTAAGAAGAAATACATCAATAGTACTTGGCGCTACTAAAAGGCAGTTATAATGAGATGGAACTAAAACACTGTCAAATGAACACCAACTTAAGCAGCATAAGGCCAGAATTTAACCAACAACGAAAAATGACTTGCTCTAAAAACAAATCTGGAACAAAATCTGTTTGGAGGCATGTGGCGAAATGACTAGTGCGTTGGTGTTGGGATCAGGGGAGCACAGGTTCAAACCCCACTGCAGTCAGCATGTCGTTGTGTCCCTGAGACACTTCACCCCAAATTGCTCCTGTGGGGATTGCCCACAGTATTCAGTAAGTCGCTTTGGATTAAAGCGTCTAACAAGTGACATGTCATGTAATGTAATGTTTGATAGAATCTCTTAACACAGATCAGCTGCAGCAAACAGCTTTAAACAAATGCTCTTCAATTTGTTGGACAGACCGACTAAAATTAAACAAATACTAAGAAATAAATGTGTTAAGATATGTTCAAATCCTGTCTCTAGTTCACTAGACAGTTGATGATGTTGGTGATGTTGTTAATGATGTCAGGACTTATGTCTTGAATGTTGTTGTGTTGAGTATTGTTGTATTGTTTTAAGTGTCGGATCCCAGGAAGAGTAGCTTTTGTCAAGAGCAAAAGCTAATGGGGATCCTAAATAAACATAGACACAAGTGAAGTGCTTCTAGGCTGTAGTATGTTTTCATTTAACATAATTCATGGTCTCTGTTACACCTTTAGCATGACGAGTTGTTAAATGCAGGTTCTGAGCTCTAACTGATCCAGACTTCATGTAAAGTGGATTGGCCGCTGCTGGTTTTCCTCTTAACACTCGGCTTAAGTTCCTGTCTGATGACTTCCACAGAAACACATCTGATCTGTGAGCTCAGACGCTCAGGGACTTTAGTACGGAGGCTTTTCACTGCTGTTGCTGTTGATCTGTCTGTATGTGCTGCTAACTCAGGGGTGGGAAGTAGTGGAGTACAAATACTTTGTTACTGTAGTTAAGTACATTTTTCTGGTATCAGTACTTTACTCCACTACTAATTTTTCTGACGACTTTTTACTTTTACTTCTTACATTTTGAACACAAATACCTGTACTTTCTACTTCTTACATTTTGAACACAAATACCTGTACTTTCTACTTCTTGAACACGATCCGTGTATCCATCATTTCCTGGTCTTCTCTAAAGAAGAGGGACCAATGAAAACGTTGTCATGTTGCTGTTGTTCAGCATGGAAACATTCATTAGCTAACAATGACATTATTGTTCTATTAATATAAAGGGAGGTCAGGTACTCTTTAAAACAGCTGCTAGTTATGGGTACTTTTTACTGAAGTACATTTCAAAGCCCTCTTTACTTTTACTTGAGTAAAGAAGTTTAGTCAGTACTTTTACTTTTACCAGAGTATTTTTAAACACGAGTATCTGTACTTCTACTTGAGTAAAGGATGTGTGTACTTTTGCACCCCCCTCATCTGATATTTCCTCTCTCCACATGCTCTCCAACTCTCTGAGTCACGTTGAAAGGTTTCAGGTTGCTGCTTGAAGCCTGGGAAATGTTTGCTGTGTGAATCACGGTTAAAAGCGACCGGCGGGCTTCAGCTGTGGTTTGAGGTCCGGTGTGAAAACATTCAGGGTGACATGGCCGTCAGCTGGAGCATTTCATGATCTGAACCTCAGCCGACGGGAGACCAAAATTAGATTTGTTATGAATGTGTGAAGCACAGTATGTGTCGAGAACAAATCAGACATTACTGACAAAGTTCCAAGTTTAGTTTAAGGGTGTTTAAGAGGCCCTATTGTGCTCATTTAGAGGTGTATATGTTGTGCCTCTACTGTGACATGTTACTTTAATGTTCAAAAAGCTCTTTATATTTCTCATTTACAAACACTTTCATTAAACACTTCAGACAAGGAAAACCAGAAAGCATAATAATAGGGCCTCGTGTAACCTTCCTGGTGACTTGTTTCTAAATGTTTTTAATGTCGGGATCAGAGGTCATATCCTCTCATTGCCAAAAGAAAGACATGGAGAATGAATGCTCACTGCTTTTCTGCAATCATTTGAAGCATCTAGGGGTGCCCAATACGTCGACCGCAAGGGTAGTGTGGGTAGATCGCATGGCATTTAAAAAAAAAAATTAACAAAAAAATATCCATCTATACTATGGCTTTTGCCACTTGATTGAAGTACAGGTAAGTGAGTTGTATTGTGCCATACGGGTTCATGCAGTTATGAGGGGGCTCACTTCCTCACCTGAAGCGCAAATGCGGCGCACTATTATTCACTTATGCGGCTAGTCCCCCCCACCCCCGCTCACGACACAGATTGGGCAGGGGCGGCCCTGTAGGTAGATCATTTGGGCTTGGTCATTTTTAAAGTAGCTCCCAAGCTGAAAAAGTGTGGGCACCCCTGATTCTAGTGTGATTATATTCTTAATAATTCTTAATATTAGGAGGGATGAAACCCCTCTTTAATGCTCTCACATGCAGAGCACACAGTGAAATGTGTTCTGCATTTAACCCATCCTAGTAGTCCCAGGAGTCTAGTACTAGGAGCAGTGGGCAGCTATTGTACAGCGCCCGGGGAGCAATGGGAGTGGGGGGGTGAAGGTGGAGGTCCGGTGCCTTGCTCAAGGGCACCACGGCAGGGCCCAGGAGGTGAACTGGGACCTATCCAAGTAGCAGTCCACACTCCATATTTAGGTCTGTTCGGGGACTGTTCGGGGACTTGAACCGGCGACCCTGCGGCTCACAGTCCAAGCCCCTACTGACTGAGCCACTGCCGGACATAAACATAAATATTTTTTGACTATGACATCTGTAATCCATCAAAATATGTTGCTCTGATCTTGTCAAAATAACTCAAAGTGTTTGCCTTTTTTTAACTCAAATATAAAGGTTTAAATATGTGAATGAAGTATTTTTAGCATAAATGCCAAAAAGAAGAAGTAAAAACCTGGAATTAAGTTGGTTTTAAAAGGAAATACACAGATGTTGGTGATGATTTAAACGTTATGCTTTATAAACCAGGACACAAGTTACACAGTTGACAGTGAAACACCACAAAGTCACTCCCTTAAAACACAACCTGATCTTCATCCTCCAAAAAGATCAGAAGATGAGGCTCAATAAAGTCGATTAAGTATTCAAATAAATATCAAATGTATTATGTTGTGTGTCTGTGTCGTAGGTCTGGTGCTTTGCTCAGAGGTTGAGACTCAATAAAGTCGATTAAGTATTCAAATCGATCCTAAATGTAATATGTCTGTGTGAATCTGTGTGTTGTAGGTCCGGTGCTTTGCTCGGAGGATGAGACTCGTCTGGTCAAAGATCTTTTCGTCGGCTACAACAAGGTGGTGCGTCCGGTGGAGCACTTCAGTGAAGCTGTGGAAGTCACCGTGGGCCTGCAGCTCATCCAGCTCATCAGCGTGGTGAGAGCAATAACTGGAGTGGACATATCGAATGCTCACAACACTTGAAATGATCAAATGCGATAAAAAAAAACTGCATAAATAATAAACGTATATTATTAAACTGCAGACATTATACGTAAAGTTGAATAAATTGCGCAAATTATACATAATCTTACACGGCACCAGATATAAATACAACTTATTAAACTGCACCAGATATAAATACAACTTATTAGACTGCATCAATTATACATATATATTATTAAACTGCAAAAATTCTTAATAGATATTTATTTAAATGACCACAATTTGTATCTACTGTATTTACAAGGGATATTATAAGATATAACGAAGTGCAAAACTGGGCGGTAACTAAAACAATTTGATGAATTGGAGACGAGGCTCTGCTTTATACCATGTTCAATGATGCTATGTTGATAATATTGAGTATTATTTATATATAGCATGATCCAATACAAGCAACAAGTCCTATTGATCAGAGCAAAACACCAAGAGAGCTATGCCTCTGTCCTTGGTACTGCAATCAACGATGAAGGTATGAACAACATCTCAGTAAAGGCAGAAAGGGTGAATGTGTGCATGCACTGAGTGAAAAATATCCATCTCTTTTAAACGTTCATTTGCAATACAATCACAGCAAGAAAGTCACAAACGTCTACACCACTTGATGGCATCCATGGCAACCAAAACAATGCAAAAATGGGCAAAGGAATCGGAGCACAATGCAAATGTAAGGCTACTTCCTCGTGAATCCAGCTACAGCGTAAATAACAACACATTGCAACAAGGTGAGGAGACATTATGACATTAGTGCCTCTCATTCTGCAGAACCACAAACTCATAACAAGCTGATGGCACGGCGGCAATACAAGATAAAAACACAAGCAGCAAATAACATATAAACAGCTCTTACTTTGGTAGCTCTCCTTCTGCGTCCAGGCTGTAGAGAAGGGTGTCATCGCACTTCAGAAAGCATGAAGTGATTGTCATTTTACTGTAAATAACAACAACACTGCAGGCATGGCACGGCGGCCATAAAAGCACAAAACAAGCACATTGCACAAATTAAAAAGCTTATATTCTCAGAAGACCAAAGCAGACCAAATGAACCAAAGTCTTCCAAATTTCACCTCAGTAGAAAATAATGCATGATAACAACCGAATCCCTCGAAACCAATGAAGGCCTAAGCTTGGGCCACAACAAGCATGCCATCACACTGAAGCATAAAACAAGCACAATGTAAATACAAATAAACAGCTCTTCCTTTGGTAGCTCTCCATACTGCTCAAAAAGTGTAGACTATTCTCAGGTAATCACTATCAGCAAGTTAGTTCAACAACTGATCTAAATGTACAATGCTCACCACAGGAAAGTGTAGGCTACATGGCAGAAATGTCACAAGACTACTTCACAATGTAAGAATTATACAGGACTTTTTATCAGTTGAATAATTCTCAATTAGAGATAGAACAACCAATCTTAGCTTTGTCAACAAACCAGTAGACCAAATTCCACTTTGTTCAAGTTAACAAGAAATGGAGGCATTTTAAATTAAAAGTGTCCCTTTAACTTGTAATTGCTTATTAGGAAGTATACCAACAATACTATTGAGCCATAATATCAGTTTATTGATTCCACAGCAGCCACAAAACAGCAGCACAAATCTAAAATGGAAATCCCTTTAATCAATTAAGGCCTAATCCAGAACCTGAACACAGAATTACTTACTATAAAACACAGAATGTGTGTGATTATTATACAAAATTATTTACAAATAAACCCCACTGCATATTCACAACTGCCCCACTGCATATTCACAATGCTTATTGGGGGTTTGCCACCCATATAAATATATTATCAGCTCAGTGATGGCATAGCAGCCACAAACCACAATGCAAATATTACTGAGTTGCTCACTGTTGTAGCTCTCCTTATAAAACTGTTGCCAATTTAATGAAGCTAAAGATGAAGACTATGGCCTTTACAATGTGTTAAGTGGATTAAATAACCCTCATAATAGGACATTAGTGCACAAAATAATCTCAAATGTTCTCATTTGAACCCAGGAATGGATAAACATCAGTCCCTAAACCCCAGAAAGGAGAGCCACAACAAGCAGAGCATCTCAGAAGTGGCAGCCATAGACACCAGAAACACCAAATCAACTGAATATCTCTTACTGTTGAAGCTCTCCTTCTGCGTCCTTAGCTCCAACCGTTTGTAAAGATGGATGACAGCCTGAAAAACTCTCTTTTTTAAGTCCTTCTTCTACACTTTTTGCTCCAGGCCTCCTCCTCCTGCTGCTCTCATCGTCGCAGTTTTTCCCACAACATGTCGATGATGGATATCAATTAGCAGTGTTAACAAACTTTCTTCTGCTAGGAAAACCAGAAAAATTATATCCTTTCGTTTTCATGTTTGGTAATCCTCTCAGAAAGTCCGTTAAGATCCCCAACGTCCATTTTCTTGACCAGGTAACACGGGTGCAAACAATTAGCCACGTTCTCCTTCCAGGGATAAAGCCTCAGCGTCAAAAGTGATTTTTTTTCCACAAGCCGTTTGGTTTAAAACATTTTCTTCGACTTGTTGGACACCGAGGTTATTTTGAAATCAAGTTTTTCTCCGTAAAGTTGACTTTCAGACGATAATCCACCTGTTTCACGCGGACCACAGTTCCCATGGAGTTTCAAATCTGCCTGCCAATCACGACGTGCGTTCTGAGCCATCAGCCAAATGCAAAGCGAATTAGCTCCGCGCATGCGCAGTGTAGTTTGGGGGTGCATTGACATTATTATTAAAGGTCCCATGTCATGGCCATTTCTACTGATCATAGAAATCAACCCCTCCGTATGAGCCCACTGTGCTCTGATTGGTCAGCTCGCCCACTCTGTTCTGATGAGTCCACCACCGTTACAGCGGAACATCAGAGATTATGTGTTACAATGGCGTTTGTTAGCAACCAGAAAATGACACCAGTAATGACAAACAGATGAGAATGCTGCGTGGGGTCTGGGTGCCGTGTTGGCGGGACGTTGCGCGGCTCGCTGCTGCGAGGAGCGGACAGTGTGAGCTGGGTTCATTTCCTGGTTGCTGCAATAAAAAAATGTTTTAAAGGAATATTATACAATAAAAAAAATCATATTTACAAGAAATACTAATTCTACTAAAGTATGACAAATGACCATGAACACAAAATATGTTCTGAAAGCTTCTGACGGTTTTCTGTCTTTTCTCTGCCTCTCTCAGGATGAAGTGAACCAGATTGTGACCAGTAACGTCCGTCTGAAACAGGTAAATGTGAAAACCAAAACATATAGTAAATATGTTAACAATGTATTTAGACTTTTAGCTGTAAATAAAACAACTGAATACAGCTTGTATCAGTGCGTTAATAGACTTAAATGCTTAATTGTTCCTATGTTCCCCCAGCGATGGTTAGATGTGAATCTGAAGTGGAATCCGGCTGATTACGGAGGCATCAGGAAGATCAGAGTCCCTTCAGCAGACATATGGAAACCTGACCTGGTGCTATACAACAAGTAAACACACACACACACACACTCTTATATCCTCATACACACCCTCTGTCTCTTATATCCTCACACACACTCGTACTGTATATTCTCACACACTCTCTCTCTCTTATATCCTCACACACACTCGTATATTCTCACACACACTTTGTCTCTTATATCCTCACACACACTTTCTTTCTCATATCTTCACACACACTCTCATATTCAATGTATTCTCCTGAACCCCCTCTCCTCTTCCTCCTCTGCAGTGCTGATGGAGACTTTGCCATCATCCAATTCACTAAAGTCCTGCTGGAGCACACGGGGATCATCATCTGGAACCCTCCGGCCATCTTTAAGAGTTACTGCGAGATCATCGTGCTGCACTTCCCCTTCGACCTGCAGAACTGCAGCATGAAGCTGGGGACCTGGACCTACGACGGGCTGCTGGTGGTCATCAACCAGGTCAGTGACACCCAGAAATACACAGGGTTATTCAGAGATGGAAAAGGTACACACATCCTTTACTCAATTAGAAGTACAGATACTCGCGTTTAAAAATACTCTGGTAAAAGTAGCAGTACTGACTAAAATAAAAGTAAAAATGTACTCATTGGTAATGCCTTGTAATCATGCTGCTGTAACCAATTGATATCAATTTTTGGGAAGGTATATCTAATCTTTACCCAAAACCTTTTACCTTGTTTAGTTTTGTTCCTCCTCCCCTGTGTTGTAGGACAGCGATCGTCCGGATAAATGTACAAACAATGAAAAACAATCATTTACTTTTTGGTATATTTAAACACCTGGTAAACATTTATTTTTTCCTTATTCTATAATAGTTTTTAAAATATGTTAAAGTATTTTTTTACAACTTACTGTGTTTATGAATGCACTAGTACATCAATCAATAAAAGATATCTATCCAATCGAACTTTACTTATAGCACATTTAAAAACAACAGTGTTGACCAAAGTGCTGTACATCAATAAATATATTAAAAAAAGCAGTATAGATACATTTAGACAAAACCGATAGGACAAAAAGAAACTAATGTAAAAGCAAGAGACAATAAAAAATATATAATAATACACCAGATATACACTATCCTTTAACATCCTTGTGTTTTGTCCCTCCTCTCCTGTGTGTAGGACAGCGACCGTCCGGACCTCAGTAACTTCATGGAGTCAGGGGAGTGGGTGTTGAAGGACTACAGGAGCTGGAAGCACTGGGTTTACTACACCTGCTGCCCCGACACGCCCTACCTGGACATCACGTATCACTTCCTGATGCTGCGGCTGCCGCTCTACTTCATCGTCAACGTCATCATCCCCTGCATGCTGTTCTCCTTCCTCACCGGACTCGTCTTCTACCTGCCCACTGACTCCGGTACGATACAATACAATACAGCTTTATTTATAACGCACTTTAAAACCTCCAAACCAAAGTGCTGTACAGTCAAATAAACAAACAAAACATCTCACAGCTCAGCTCACACACCATAAAACAAGTACAAGTAAAAACAAAAGACAATTTAAAAGCAATAAAATCAACAATCTAAAACATGTCAATATGCTAAGGAGAGGTGGGTTTTCAGAAGGGATTTAAAAGCAGACAGTGTGGAGGCCTGTCTGATGTTCAGATCATTCCACAGTGTGGGAGACAGACATTTGTTCCTGTTGGCTCTAGGGAAAATAGAGACATTTTGACATGTATTTGCTCCATATGTCACGTATCAGATACGCTTTGTGAAGGGATTAAAGGATCATTCTGCAAGAAAGGGTTACACAACCAAATCAGTTTGCAATCAGGAAAACAAGACCAAATCTAATCAAAACAAAAACAGTAGAGTATTCATTTTTTAAATGTGAATTAGGAGGAATTTAAACAGCATTGCAGAAAACAACAGGCAGAATATCTTTCAGTTTGTGTGTACAGACAGAGAGATCGAAATACTGTTTCCCACAATCCCTAATAACAAAGATGTGTGTGTGTGTGTGTGTGTGTGTGTGTGTGTGTGTGTGTGTGTGTGTGTGTGTGTGTGTGTGTGTGTGTGTGTGTGTGTGTGTGTGTGTGTGTGTGTGTGTGTGTGTGTGTGTGTGTGTGTGTGTGTGTGTGTGTGTGTGTGTGTGTGTGTGTGTGTGTGTGTGTGTGTGTGGCGCGCGCGCGCGCAGGTGAGAAGATGACGCTCTCCATCTCCGTCCTGCTGTCCCTCACTGTGTTCCTGCTGGTGATCGTTGAGCTCATCCCCTCCACCTCCAGCGCTGTTCCTCTCATCGGGAAGTACATGTTGTTCACCATGGTCTTCGTCATCGCCTCCATCATCATCACCGTCATCGTCATCAACACACACCACCGCTCGCCCAGCACCCACACCATGCCCAACTGGATACGCAAGGTGCCTGGTCCCACTGTTTCTTATTAAAGGTCTCCTATCATGCAAAATGCACTTTTTGATGTCTGATATACATAGACGAAGTGTCAGAAAACAAAACCATCTATCTTCTCCTCCGTACCCATCTAAAGTTCTTTTTTTTAAGTAATCCTGCTGCAAGAGAGATATTGAAAACCAGCTAAA